GCTGGATGTAAGGGGAAACCTAGTGACTGAGGATGAGAAAAAGGCTGAGGTACTTAATGCTGCCTTTGCCTCAGTCTTTAACAGCTATACCAGCCATCCTCAAGGTACTCAGTTCCCTGAACTGGATGGCAGAGACGGGAAGTCCCCATAATTCAGGAAGAAATGTTTAGCGACCTCCTCCACTGTGATGTATACAACTCCATGGGGCCACATGGGTTCCACCCATGAGTGCTGAAGGAGCTGGCAGAGGAGCTTTCTAAACCACTCTTCAGCATTTATCAGCAGTCCTGGCCTAGTGGGCAGGTCCCGGAGGACTGGAAGTTGGCCACTGTGACACCTTTCTACAGAAAGGGCAGGAAAGATGACCTTGGAAACTTACAGGCCTGTCAGCCTGACCTCAGTGCTGGGGAAGGCTGTGGAGCAGATAATCCTAAGTGAGATCATAAAGCACGTGTTGGAAAACAGGGGATCAGGCCCTCTAGGGCGCTTTAAAACTCCAGTTACCTTCTTAGCAGATACTGGGACCCAGATGTCAGCTCTCCAGAGGTATGTCACTGATAACAATAGAAAAGTTGCCAATAAGAAACCTATCCAAGTTACTATTGTTTTTGGCAACTCTAAATCAACCAACAGCTCAAATAAGTGTTGACTGCCAGGTGATGACTCTCCTGTTATAAACACAGTCATACTGGGGTATTTACCAAACTTTATGGGGCTTGATTTACATAAAGGCCATGCCTGGGTAGACTCAGGAGGAAAAGAGTGGATGTTCAGGCTCCCTGAAGCCTTGCTGAGACTGCTTCAGTCAGCACACACACTCCCTCTTCCAAAAATAGTATCAAAACCTATGCTCTGCCATTAGGAGCAAGAGAGGGAAATTACCCCTGTAATAACTGAATTACAGGAATAAGGGATAATTATCACCACTCACCCACCCTATGACTCTCCTGTGTCACCAGTCCATAAACCAAATGGAAAGCAGCGATTGACAATTGATTATTGGCACCTGAATGCCAATACAGGTCCCTTAACAGCTGCTGTGCCTAATATAGCTGAACTAATTGCAACTACACAGGAGCAAGCCCCAAAATTTTAGCCACCATTGATGTTAAGAAAATGTTTTTTTTATGGTCCCCTTTCAGGAAGCAGATAGAGATCACTTTGCTTTTACATGGGAGGGTGTGCAGATTTGCATTTAGAGGGGGAGGAAAGTTGCAGTGCTGGAAGCTAGAGCTTTAGCTCCATTATGACACAAACAGAGGTGCTCCTCTAAGCATTCAAAGCTCCTTTACACCAGGGAGTAGGGGTGGAGGGACCAGTGACTATTAAGGTGCCATTTTTTGTCATATGAGAGCCTGGCAAAAGTTAGATGGGACACATAGGGAAGATCCTCAGAAAGTATCTCAAGCGATGAAAAATATTATTAGAACAGAAGATCCATATTGGAATGATTTACAAGTAATACTGGATAATTTGGTAGCATATGATGAGAAAAGTCTAGTGCTAGCAAAAGCAAGGGAGGAGGCAGAAGGGATCCATGCCCAAGGGACATCGTAGGGGTCAGTGGATGACTACTTTCCCCGCACAGACCCTAAGGAAATATGAATTTCCAGCTGAAAAAGAATTGGGGAAACTCCATCTGCCTTTTATGAAAGGCTTATGGCAACAGATAGGAAGTATACAGATATGAACCCTGAAAAAGACTATACAGCAGTATTATATTTCCACTGGACAATCAAATTCAGATATTAAATGCAAGCTGCAAAAACTGGAAGGGACCAATTCTCAGTTTCTCAAACTGCTGTAAACAGCCTGGAGAGTATACAGTAACAGAGAGGTTGAAAGGGAGAAAGAAAAGGCGGAAAAGTAAAAGAAAATTCTTGGCTGTTGCTATCACACAAGAAATCAGGAAAAGGAGTAACAGTCCAGGAAAGAAAGGTAAGAAAAAAGGATTACATGGAAATGTTTGTGTCCTGGTTTAAGCCCAGAGAGCAATCCAGAACCACACAGCCCCTCGCTAACTCTCCCCCCACCCAGAGGAATGGGAAGGAGAATCGAAAGAATGTAACTCCCACGGGTTGAGATAAGAACAGTCCAGTACCTAAGGTATAACACATAAACCACTACTCCTACCACCAATAATAATAAGGGAAATAACACAGGAAGAGAACACAACCGCTCACCTCCCGCCAACCGATAAACAGCCTGAACGGAGCAGTGGTCTCGCTCTTCCAGGTAACAGCCCCCAGTTTATATAGTGGGCATGACAGGCTGTGATACGGAATACATCTTTGGCTAGTTTGGGTCAGGTATCCTGTCTCTGCTTCCTCCCAGCTTTCCCTCCTCCCTGGCAGAGCAGAAAAATCACAAAGTCCTTGGTCAGAGTAACAAATTATTTAGCAACAACTAAAAATACTGGTGTTATCAGAGCTGCTCCCAGGCTGAAAGAAAAAACATAGCACTGTACCAGCTACTAAGAAAAATGACTGCTACTGCTGAACCCAGGACAGTATCCACCCTTATTCCATACCATTCACATCATGCTCAGACCCCACATTTTTCAACACACCATCACTCTGGTCTCATATATATATGTATACATACACACACACATCCAAAAGCAGACAAAGAGAGAGATCACTCCTTAGTGCATGGACCAATCCCTATAAAGCTGCTGAGTTCATCCAGTACATGATGTCAGGCTCCATAGAATCATAGAATAGTTAGGGTTGGAAAGGACCTTAAGATCATCAAGTTCCAACCCCCCTGCCATGGGCAGGGACACCTCACACTAAAGCATATTACCCAAGGCCTCGTCCAACCTGGCCTTGAACACTGCCAGGGATGGAGCATTCACAACCACCCTGGACAACCTATTCCAGTGCCTCACCACCCTAACAGGAAAGAATTTTCTCCTTATATCCAATCTAAACTTCCCCTGTTTAAGTTCTAACCCATTACCCCTCATTCTATCACTACAGTCCCTAATGAAGAGTCCACCCCCAGCATCCCTATAGGCCACCTTCAGATACTGGAAGGCTGCTATGAGGTCTCCACACAGCCTTCTCTTCTCCAGGCTGAACAGCCTCAACTTTCTCAGCCTATCTTCATATGGGAGGTGCTCCTGTCCCCTGATCATTCTCGTGGCCCTCCTCTGGACTTATTCCAACAGATCCATGTCCTTTTTATGTTGGGGGACACCAGAACTGTATACAACACTCCAAGTGAGGTCTCGCGAGAGCAGAATAAAGGGGCAGGATCACCTCCTTTGACCTGCTGGTCACGCTCCTTTTGATGCAGCCCAGGATACAGTTGGCTTTCTGGGCTGCAAGCGCACACTGCTGGCTCATGTTCATTTTCTCATCGACCAGCACCCTCAAGTCCTTCTCCACAGGGCTGCTCTGAATCTCTTCTCTGCCCAGCCTGTAGCTGTGCCTGGGATTGCTCTGACCCAGGTGTAGGACCTTGCACTTGGCATGGTTAAACTTCATGAGGTTGGCATCAGCCCACCTCACAAGCGTGTCAAGGTCCCATTGGATGGCATTCCTTCCCTCCAGCGTATCAACCAAACCACACAGCTTGGTGTCATTGGCAAACTTGCTGAGGGCACACTCAATCCCACTGTCCGTGTCAGGACAGAACCTTGGGTGACATGGGTTAGTGTGAGGTGTCCCTGCCCATGGTAGGGGGGGGGTGGAAATAGATGATCTTAAGGTCCTTTCCAACCTTAACTATTCTATGATTCTATTAAACTGTTCTTATTTCAACCCCTGGGGTTTACATTCTTTTGATTCTCCTCCCCTTCCTGCTGGGGGGGGGGGGAGTGCAAACAGCTGAGTTACCAGTGGAGAGGGGACTAGAAAAAACAGTAGTGGAAGTAATAAGGGAAATAACTAAATACTTCGAAACTGGGGAATTGATGCGAAATTAAACTAATATTTATTGTATACAGAGTCTTAGCCATGGACAAAGCTACAAGGATTCTCACAATAAGGAAGGCATGCAACAAGAGAACCAGATGTCTTCTCTCAAATCAGTGTAGGCCTTCCTCCTGTTAATAAAGCCTGAGAAATAGGTAAATGGCTGCAAAAACAAAACTACTTCAGTAGCCTCTCAGGGTCTTAAATCTGCCCAAACATGAACATGTAGCTAACTGCAAGGCTAAACGAGCATTCCAATGTCCTTAACTAATGGATTTCCATAAAAGGGTAAAATGAGTGGAGATATCTCTCCCTAAATGACCATGACCCCCAGAGACCACTCCTCAAAATTCAGTGCCTGTGCTGCAGCCTTATCTACCAAAATTACCATATGCAATGATCAACGAGAATTAGGTGGACATTTTGCAGAATTACAATGAATACTCATATAACAAAGGTATATAAAACGCAAACTGTCTCTTCTCTGTGTCCGTGATAGGCAGAGTGATCCCCATACACCCAGTACTGCAATAAAGTAATTTAGGCTTCTAACCTGTCAATTTGATTTGAGAGCTTATTTCCCCAATTCTAGCAACACTATTAGGAAGAAAGTTAACTCTATCCCAGCCAAAACGATAACACAAGTCTGCAACCTTTTTTTGTTAATGTACACACTTTCTAGAGCTAGCTCATTGTGAATCCAAAGGCTGTACTTAGAGCACTCACTAGTTACATGAACCCTAGGTACCATTTTCTGCTTAGGGTTTGTTTTTGGGTTTTATTTCACAAAATATAAACACAGAACTGCTCTGCCTCAAGTGCAAGATTCTTTATATAACTAGCACTATAAGAATCACGATTAACCTAAGGGAAAGATAATAAAAGCCTTATTGAAGATTCACAGCTTCTTTTTTAAACTGTCTCTTCTCCACAGACATAACCCACTTAAAAACCTCTACACTCCCACAGATGTCTGACACATACTTTCCACTGAGAAAAGGTGGAAAGGCCCACCCTCCCAAAGGGGAAGCACCAAGAGGCAGCAGGTACCCAAGGGGGTGCAGAAGCGCTGCTACTCACTGGTTCGTGGGGGGAGCGTTGAGCGGGATGGCCACTTCCTCTTCTTCATACTCCAGCCCATCCACCGAGTCGCCTCCATCCACGGTCCCCAGCCCCCCAGGCAAGGAAAGGAGCTGTGGTGGCAGCAGGGAAAAGGCGACTGTACCGGGTTCAGGTGGGGGCAAGACGCCTCCGGACGCCTCCAGCTCCTGGCCCTGGTCAATTGCTGTCACAGCGCCACCGCCTCCGGACACGAGAGTGGCAGGCCCCGAACCTAGCGGCAGGAACCCCAAGGCCGAACACAAAGCCGGACCACCGGCGCCCAGGCTGCCCCCATCAGAGTCCACCAGAAAGGGTCCTTGAGGCCCCAGCTCCTTGCCTCGGCATAAAGTGGCGTAGTGTTCCGCCACAGTTCTGTCAACGGATCCCACCATCTCGGCGGAAGTAAACGAGCCGCCCTCCTCAGCGCCGGCCTCAGCCGCCATCATGGTGAGCCTCGCCCCTTCCTACCTCCCGCGCGCTGACCGCCAGGTAAGTAACAACAACTACCCCTTCTCTACGCTTTTGTCTGCAAGGAGCAGAACTGAGACAAGAAAAAGATTTCTCCAGCAGAGTCGACTTCTTAACGATAACTGTCTAAGCGCCTAAAGTAACGCTACTAAATCCCCAACACTACTACTTTAGACTGCTACGACCGCGAGGGGAGCAACTCCTACAAAGATACAACTCCACTCGTTACCCCACCCCTGAGAGCCAATGAGGGTGCGTCATTGTATGGGCGGGGCAAAGAAGAAAAGAAGGAGGGAGGGAGCTAATTTGCTAATGACAGAGAAAAAGAGAGTGGCGTGGCGAGCGAGGTAGTCGGGAGCGAACATGGTGGTATGTTATCTGCTCTCTCTTGATGGGTGTGAGATACATCAAGAGAAGAATAAGGAGTCTTCCATTATCCCTATCTCGGGGGTATGCAAAAGAAACAAGCAAACAAACAAACAAACAAGCAATATAACACTATAACAACCAAACAGGAAAAGGCTGATCTTCCCCAGGTAGTACCAAAGTTTATTCCTCTCCAAAGTTAAAGCATTGAAGAACTGTGTTAGCCTTTTGCACTATAAAAGCGTGAAGCAATAAATGCATGTTGTTGGGAATGCCTGGTTTCAATAATAGAGTAGCTTCTGAGTCAGAGTGAGGTTTAAAGCTTTATTTGAATAAAGGGAGATCCCCACCAGGCACACCTGATTCAGAGATCTCAAATTTTCTTAGCATTAACACTGTATTTATACCTATCCCATCTCTGGGTCCCTCCCTCTTTTTCCTTTGTCTTAGATACTCAGGTGAAGCACGAAATCAAACTCTACAACTCAACAAGAGATATAAAGCAGGTATGCTTATTATGGCACCGGGTGCAAGGGGGATTGCTCCTCCTAACTTGCCCATTGAGGGGTTAAGCAAGTAGATATTTATTACACATAAACATGCATATTCATTAGGTTCCCGAGAGTTTGGCAGGGATATTACAATTAGTTTAGGTACTCATCATAAGTCTTCTCCCTTTTGGCGCTTGTGCACTGCCCTCCCATAGTTGTGGGCAGGGCTCTTCAAGATGAAGTAAGTAGTCTTCCTCATGTGAGCAGGGGTCTTCAAGATGAAGTAAGCAGTCTTCCTCAGGGTGCACTTTTCACCTTTGGCACAGTTGGATGCCCCAGTAATCATAAATTAGCTGAAACCAACCGTATCTGCAAGTTTCTGTTCTTCTTCTTCATAGCTGGTGCAGTGCTGTGTTTTTGACTTCAGCCTCAGAACAACTCTGATAACACAACGATGTTTTGAGTTGTTGCTAAGTATTGCTTACTCTGATCAAGGACTTTTGAGTCTCATGTTCTGCCAGTGAGGAGGGGCATGGGAAGCTGGGAGGAAGCAGAGACAAGACAACTGACCCAAATTAGTCAAAGGGGTATTCCATACCACAGCACATAATGCCCAGTATATAAAATGGGGGGAGTTACCCAGAAGGCCCAGATCACTGCTTGGGTCGATTTATTTGCTCTCAGAGTTCCTGTGCTTGATTTTGGAGTATGTCATACTGTCCTGGGTTCAACAGTAGCAGTCATTTTTCTCCTTCTTAGTAGCTGGTGCAGTGCTGTGGTTTTGACTTTCAGCCAGGGAACAACGCTTATAACACTGATTTTTTTTTAGTTGTTGCTAAGTAATGTTTATTCTGACCAAGGACTTCCTGAGTCTCATGCTCTACCAGGGCGGAGGGGAAGCTGGGAGGAAGCAGAGACAGGACACCTGACTAAACTAGCTAAAGGGTGATAGCGGAATAGACTCCACAACTTCGTTAAAGTTGTAAAGTAGGTATGCTTTATTCAGCTGAAGACACACGGGGGATTGGTCCTCCAAAAGGCATGCGTGTCTTAGTGCCATTTTTCTTCTACATTTATCCTGTAAAGTCATACATATTCATATTCTATCCCCGCTTCGTATTATAATGAGCTAAAAGGCTCTCCACGCATGCGCAGTGCCTCCTGGTGGTCTTGGGCAGGGGTCTTCAGATGAAGTAAGTAGTCTTCCTCTTGTGGGTAGGGGTCTTCAAGATGAAGTAAATGAGTCTGCCTCAGGATTGAACTTTTTACCTCTGGTCCTCTCGCATGCTCTTTAGGAGCTGGATGGGTCTGGTCTATGTCTAGCTGGTTTAATGAGCTATTCCCTTCGTTAGGAAGCTTTATCTTAGTACTGCCTGATAAGGCATCTGCTGAGCTTGTCAAGCTAGCTATGACTTAAGCAGTACTCCTTGTACAACCCCCCCATTCTCCTCATTAGGAGGTTCTGTTCTGGTACTGCCTGATAAGACATCTGCTGAGCTCGTTAAACCAGCTATGACTTAAGCAGTACCCCCCTGTACATTTTGTCTAACCCCCTTGTACAACCCCCCTGTACACAATAGGCCACATCAGTTTCAAAGGGGTGTTCCATACCACAATACATCATGCCCAGTATATAAACTGGGGGCACTTACCCAGAAGGGGTAGATTGCTGCTCAGGTCATGAAGCATGGAATCAGACCCTACAACTCAAAGAGAGTTATAAAGCAGGTATGGTTATTATGGCACCGGGTGCAAGGGGGATCACTCCTCCTAACTTGCACACTGAGGGGTTAAGCAAGCAGATGTTTATTACACACAAACATGCATATTCATTAGGTTCCCGAGAGTTCGGTGGGGATATTACAATTAGTTTAGGTACTCATTATCATAAGTCTCCTCCCTTTTGGCGCTTCTGCACTGCCCTCCAGTGGTTGTGGGCAGGGGTATTTAAGATGAAGTAAGTAGTCTTCCTCATGTGGGCAGGGGTCTTCAAGATGAAGTAAGCAGTCTTCCTCAGGGTGCACTTTTCACCTTTGGCACAGTTGGATGCCCCAGTAATCACAAATTATCTGAAACCAACCGTATCTGCAATTTTACTGATAGCTGGCAAAGATTTAAAACAGTGTGACCTTCGTAGAAAATTTATTACAAGAAGAACAGGATGGGCAGATAAGGTGTATCCTAAGCTAGCAGCTGTTTGGGAGTCACTGTCTCCAAACTAACTGATAATTAGAAGGACGGTAAGAAATACTTCACTTGTTAGAAGGATGGAAAGAAATAATTCACTCTTGTTAGTAAGACTACTAAATTCTGTTATCACACCATAGGCTTACAACACATTGTTCTCTGTCTTAGACCTGAGATAACTTAAATGTATTTTAGCCCTATGTTTTCCAGGCACTTGCTTTCCTTATATCAGTCAGGCTTGGTATCAGTCGGCAGGGGGTAGGCAGTTGTATTCTCTTCCCTTGTTATTTCCCTTATCATTATTATTGGTGGCAGCAGTTGTGGTTTTTGGTTTTGTGTTATATGTTAGTTACTGGACTGTTCTTATCTCAACCCACGGGAGTTACATTCTTTGATTCTCCTCCCCATCCTTCCGGGGGGGGGGGGACACGACAAACAGCTGCACTTGCACCAGCTACTAAGAAGGAGAAAAATTACTGCTACTGCTGAACCCAGAACAGTATCCACCCCTTATTCCATACCATTCATGTCATGCTCAGATCCCACATTTTTCAATATACCATCACTCTTGTCTCATATATATATATATATATACGCACATACATGCACACACACAAAGAGAGCGATATCATTCCCTAGTGCATGGACCAATCCCTTTAAAGCTGCTGAGTTCATCTGGTCCACGATATCGTTCTCCATCTATTCTAACAGTCTTTCAGAGTGTCCTGGATTTGGCAGTAGCAGTCATTTTTCTCTTTCTTGGTAGCTGGTGCAATGCTGTGTTTTGACTTTCGGGATGGGAACAGAGCTGATAACAATGATATTTTGGTTTGGCCAAGAACTTTGTGAGCCTCATGCTCTGCAGGGAGAAAAGGGAGCCAGGAGGAAGCAGAGACAGGACACCTGACCCAGACTGACTAAAGAGGTATTCCATACCACAGCATGTCATGCCCAGGATGTAACTGGGAGTTACCTGGAAGGGCTAGTGGACTGCAGGGTTGGAGGAAGTATCGGTCAGTGCTTGGTCGGGCTGGGGGAGCGAGTTATCGGTCGCCTGGTGATGAGGTGTTGTATTCTCTTCCCTTGTTATTTCCTTTATCGTTACTATTATTGGTGGTAGCAGTAGTGATTTGTGTTATACCTTAGTTACTAAACTGTTCTTATCTCATCCCGTGGGAGTTGCATTCATTCTGATTCTCTTCTCCGTCCTTCCAGGAGTAGGGGGAGGGCAAGAAGGGGGGGGGAGTGGGTGAACAAGCTGTCTGGCTGGGGTTAAACCCCGACACAGAGCAGGAGAGAAACTGTGCGGTGTTGGATTGTTGCCTGCTGATGACACTGCGGAACTTGTCTAGTCACTGCTGAGCTCATCTGGTTTCAGCAAAGTTTATTCTTTGTTGGGATGATTGGAATGAAGTCAGGGCCGGTCGCTGGTAACCTGAGGACATCTAGTTGGTGGGCTATGAAAGTGCTACATAGCAGGCAACAGTATACAATTAAGTTCATTGGCTGTTTTCCCCTAAAGTCCAATCCCCTTGAGGTACACATCGGACTTCCCCATCTTCCTGCATTACCTACCAACTATATCCTGGTCCCTGAGCAAAAGCAATCCCACAAGTGGGTTTGCCTTTACCTGAAGCAGGAATAACCCAGACTGTTTTCCCCAGCAAATTTTTTATGCACACCATAGGAACTTTATCCCTGTTGCCAAGAGGAGCTGCTCCTTTCTGGCTGATTGCTCTTGGCTCAGGATGCTCCTTCCCTTTGTAGCCCCAGCAGCGGTACCACCATGTGAGCTTTCCAAATGCTATTTCCCCCCAACACCAGAGATTTACACCTATTTGCAAGCTCAACTTTAGCAACTCCTTAACCTAGAGGTGTGCGAGAACACTGCTGAAGCTGTTGGTCTGGGCTTGCCTACACTGGGCAAACAGGTGCCATTTCTCCTTACTATGCCAACACAGAGGGAGTCCCCTCAGCCCTTTGTGGCACCCACCAAAGGAAGTCATTTTGCTGCTCTTGGAATTGCCAGTAAAATCACTTTTCCGCCTGCACCAGCAGCAAGGGCTTTGCTGGGAGATCATAAGAACACCTCTCCTTGGAATGCAGCTCTCCGTTTGCTCTCCCAGTGAAACACCTTCAGCTATAGCCTACTGAATACTGTCCTGGGTTCAGCAGTAGCAGTCATTTTTCTCCTTCTTAGTAGCTGGTGCAGTGCTATGTTTTTGACTTTCAGCCTGGGAACAACACTGATAACACCGATGTTTTTAGTTGTTGCTAAGTAATGTTTACTCTGACCAAGGACTTTGTGATTCTTTTGCTCTGCCAGGGAGGAGGGGAAGCTGGGAGGAAGCAGAGACAGGACACCTGACCCAAACTAGCCAAAGAGGTATTCCATACCACAGTCCGTCATGCCCATTATATAAACTGGGGGCAGTTAGCCAAAAGGGCTAGATCACTGCTCAAGTCGGCCTGGGTATCAGTCGGCGGGTGGTGAGTGGTTGTATTCTCTTCCCTTGTTATTTCCCTTATCCTTATTGGTGGTAGCAGCAGTGGTTTTTGTGTTATACCTTAGTTACTAGACTGTTCTTCTCTCAGACCGTGGGAGTTATATTCTTTCAATTCTCCTCCCCATCCCTCCGGGAGTAGGTGGAGGAAGGGGGTGGGGGGGAGTGAGTGGCTGCGTGGTTCTGAGTTACCGGCTGGGCTTAAACCACGGGATGTCATACCTTACCTGAAGCCAGTATTTGCTGGTTTACTGTTTATCGGCTGGGGGGGCCTGGGCTAAGGTTCTTGTTTCGCTGTACTTCATGGTAATGGCTTGTAATACAATAGAATCACTGATCATGTAACTTGGCTGGTTTGCCTTCTCAATGTGATCATCACATCTATACTATAGGAGGCATGTAATGGGAATTGTTAACAATTGCACATCTTTCATTTTCCTTCCCTCGGGGGGTCAACCTATGGAGGAGATATTCCTCCACACGCTCTGCTCCCCCACCAGGCTATTTACAGTAGGAGTAGGTTCTGGAAAAGTTTAAGATCTTGAATAACATTTCAATGCCCTTGAAAGCATCCTGCTCATTTTGCTGGGAACCAGCTTGTTGCTGCATATTCTCTCTATTTTTTGCCTGCGGTGTGACCACCCTAAGAACACCCAGTCTTGTTTGATCTTGGAAGCTAAGCAGGGTCTGGCTCAGGTCTTGTCTAAGTTTAAATTACTTTTTAAGAGTACTGCCAAGAGATCTTCCCTGAGGCTGGACAGTCATGAGTGGCAAGGTGTGTGGGATTGTATGGGCAAGCATTTAAGCCAATTGGCCCCTCCAGTGCTTTGCAACTTTACCCCTGAACAAGTTCAAAATCTGGAAAAAATTAGTAAAACACTTAAACGAGTTGTACTGTCATCCTGGCAATACCAGAGAGGGACAACTTGCAGTAATGTGCTGGGGCTTGGCCTACACCTTTAGGGCCCTGTTCTGTAAGGAGCAGGAAAAAGATGTCCCTGGATCTGATGGCACAGCAACAGACAGCGCAGCTATGGAGAGCCTTCCAGAGTGACAGAAAATGAGTACCAGTGATGGCAACAGCCAATGGCTAGGTGACATGGGAACTTGAAAGAGTCAGGCTTGGGTGTATGCTACCTGGCCCTAGGAGGGAGAGGGTTGGCAACCACTGCAGGAGAGGCCTAGGAGACACCCTCAAGCAGAGGAGCCCCTCCAGCCCAGTCCAGGAGTATGAACCTCACAGCTGGACCCACTATGCTGACATGCTGGATTTCTCTACGGATCGGAGGTCTCCCTCCCACCAGACACAGAAGTCATGCCCTTCACTAACATTAGTTGCAGAATAACCTGTCCTAAACCATGGAAAATACCTGTCTTGTATAAATGAGACACCCACTACAGCTGAACCTCATAGCAACAGTTCTGCATGCTTTATCCTGATCTAGACTGAATAGCTGTTCAGAGTTTGAAAAACTTATGTAAACTGAATTTCCTTTTTTGTTTTTTTTTTGTGGTTTGGTTTGGTTTTAGTTTCGCTCATATCTTCAAGATAAAACATGGAAATATGATTCTGGCAAAAGCAGATTACTGCAGCCACTAGGGGAGTAAAACCTGAACTGTCGTGGTTTAAACCCAGCCAGTAACTCAGAACCATGCAGCCACTTGCTCACTCCTCAACTTCTTCCCCAATGATCCCAGAGGGATGGGGATGAGAACTGAAAGAATGTAAATCCCACAGGGTGAGATAAAAACAGTCTAGTAACTAAGGTATAATGTTAAACTACTGCTGCTACCACCAATAATAATAATGATAAGGGAAATACAAGAGGTAAAAATACAGTTGCTCACCACCTGCCGACCGATACCCAGCCCGACCCAAGAAGTGATCTGAGCATTCCAGGTTGCTCCCCCAGTTTATATACTGGGCACGATGTACCCACTATGTATGTATATATATAAAGGGGTATGGAATGCCCCTTTGGCTAGTTTGGGTCATGTGTCCTATCTCTGCTTCCTCCCGGCTTCCAGTGCCCCTCCTCACTGGCAGAACATGAGACTCAAAAGTCCTTGATCAGAGTAAGCAATACTTAGCAACTCAAAACATCAGTATGTTATCAGTGTTGTTCTCAGACTAAAGTCGAAAAAACAGCACTGCACCTGCTATTAAGGAGAAAAATGACTGCTACAGCTGAACCCACAACAAAAGCACACCCACAGATTCAGAAGACCCTTGCCCCATGCAGGCATAGTAGCAGAAGAGAATGACACTGCAGATATTATAATTGTACATAAATCACTAACCAATAATTGTAACTGGGTGTGTACTACCTTGTAATTTTTGTGTGTAAATGTAAGGATGAAATCGGCATTGGTTGTGCTTGATTTGTGGAAATTCCACCTAGCACCCAGTGCTGCAATGAAGAAGTCCCTGCTTCTTAATGCTACATTGGTGTTAAGGAGATTTATTCTACCGGCTTTCGGTGACAGTTTTTGGTGACCCAGATGGGACCTGGCAAGTGAGACTGGAAGAGAGAGTGCCGATAAAACTCCAGCCAGCACTGAGGAATTCTCAGGGAGGAACATTGCCCTTGACTCTTAAAGCTCCTCACAACATTCCCTGGAATAAAAAAAAGGGTAAGGCACTTCTTTCAGAATTTGGTTTAGAAAGCCTGACTGTAAGGCAGTGAGAGCTGTGCAGGGTTGAGGCTAACAG